GCACTGCCCTGAAAATACCAGTATGAGCCAAAAACTAAATCCAAAGTTCACTTTTATTTTCAGTTCCTATTCCCTAACTTTCTTCACAGCTGCAAGAAAGCATTTCCAACTTTGTTTATATACCACCTTGCTGAAAAGAAAATAATTGCATTTCCTGTGTTTTACAGTGGTAGGGCTCCATTGCTGACCTCCGCGCTTTCTCCATGTATGTCCATCTCTGGAGGATACCACTTGGAGGATCTTCCATTGACTTGCCCCAATATTTTGTTTCTCTGAATTGTGAGCTGCAGGCACAGGGGTTTCATCCTACCACAAACAAAACAGACACAATGTTGATAGAGCTTAGAATCATTTACTCACTGGTGGCGATACACATTTTGTGCTGCAATATTAGACGCAATTGCCAAGTCTCATGCTCTGTTTTTGTGCTTTGGATTGTGAGTACAATATAGAGTCTTGACAAACAATACCTAGTTCTTTACAATAAAGACATCAGGACACTGAAGGATTGAGTTACCAGAAAAGCCTTCTCATGCTGGAAGGCCACATATCACAATTTTACTTTGTCACTGTTTTTCTTTATTTTGCTATTTACCAATAGAAGAAACAATATAAAATGCCAAGTATTATAATTATTTACTAATCATGCTTATCTTTCAGCAAATGAGCCAAATTCATTGTGAGACTGAGTTAAATTCTGAAACATGTAAAAGGTGCTGCCAAAGCTCTGCCTTTGATCTAATCAAACTTTAAACTGGCCTTTGAGAGTGGAAGAAGCATGGTCCAAGCCATTTCAGCTCCCAGCATTTGGTAAATGTCATTGTGCTGAACTCAGGCCCCTGTTATTGGCACAATTTCTACCTATTTTCCATGGCATTTCTGAATCACTTGTGAATCATGTTCTCAGTAGTGATGAAAAACAGTTCAGCTTTAATGTGCATTTACAATATACAGCTATCATGTCTCTATGCTGAAAAGATGGAGGCATTTACCTGGGAAATGAGAGTGCAGCTTGCTTTTTCAGATGAGTGTCCCTAAAATCAAACTAGATCATTTGTTTGGGCAGATGTGGATTTGAGGGCAGATCAAGGTAAAAGCAATGTAGGGTTACAGACTAGATTTTAATCATATCACAGGTTAATTGCTCTGGCTTCTCAGTCCTCCCCACTACTCCCAGAAGACTACACGATTTAAGAGATGCTGGATGCAATATGGGAGTTGCACTTCTCATTCCGTTTTATAGTAATGTTGTTTGGTTTCTGTCACTGGATAAGGGTCTGTGAATCCCTGCCTTCAAACCCACAATTTCCTTCATGAATAGGATTGTTTTTTTCAAGTAAGTAGATTATGATTTTTCTCCTTGCTACCTCTTTACTTACAGCTTTACTTGCTTCCTCATCTTATGTGGGTGATAGCAGGCAGAATAATCAATGAACCGTTGACGTACTTTTGGGAATTTAATGACCAAGCTATGGTCACATTAGCTATTTGGATAATTAATAAGAATATTGATTATCACAGAATCATAGAATCATGGTTATAAAAGACCTTCAAGATCATAGCGTCCAACCGTAAAATGTTCAACACCATGTCTGTTAAACCATGTCCCAAAATGCCTCATCTGCACATTTCTTGAACATATATATATTGATGTTTCTATATTTATAACCACAAGAGCTGAAAACTAAATGGCTGTCTGGCTCAGCTCTCTAGCCATATTGCACTTAAGCGATATTTACTGTTCATGTTGTTCAAGTCACTTGATATGATGACACTAAGCAATTCCAAATGCTTTCTGTTTATATTTATGATGTTGTCAACTGCTACAATGAGTCCCTAGAGTTCATCTGTTTCGGCCAATTTAGCTCCTAAAGCCCTTTAGATGCTGAGGGCTCAGTTCCATACAAGAACTGATAAACACATGTTATAGGAGGCTAAGTGGGATAAGGGCAGGGCCCTGGACAGCACTGGAATGTGACGACAAACAGCTCCTATTAACAGACTTCAAAAGGGCTTGGGCCGAGAGTCCCTGCCCCTCCAGTACCACACGTACGCAGCATTCCTTTGGTTCAGGAAAGCCAGTCCCCTTAACTGCATTTGCTTCCATGCACAAATGACTGCCTCATTAAATAAACATGTGACAGCTAGTTAAGACTGCATTGAATGCAAGAAGCATTCTTTCCAGGCTAAAATGCCAGACAACAAAAATGAGCAAGCCAGGAAAGATGCATGCAGTTTAGCCTTCCTCTCTTCCCCCTTTCAATTTCATTGCAGCAAAGAAGGCAACAATATCATTCTTTAACCCTGATGGAACTATTTTGCCCTTAAGACTTTTTTATAATATACATATATAGATATAAATATTTGTACTGTAAAAATGAGGGTTTTTTCACAGCAAAATCAGATTGCAAGGGGCTATTTCTTAGACACTATAGGATTGCTATCTAATTACAGGGTGTGCCAAAATAACCAGGGGCAGAGGCAGATAACGCTGTTTACTATCAGTCACCAAGATGTTATAAAAGGCCCATTAAAATAAGCAGGAGGCAGAATTAGAGAAATCTTTTGGCAGCAAGACAAATATTTGGCCCTTCGGGCTTCTCAGTGCCAGCGAAATACCATGACACTATGAAGTTATGACTCTTGTCATTATCCTAAAAAGAAGTAAGAATCACAGCACACAAAGAATCCTATATGAAGAACAGTCCAACATTACAAATAATTTTTTCCATTTAAATGGAAATAATGATTCCAAATTTATAGGAACATCCACACACAAGCAGTGAATGCAGCAACTAGTAAAAATTCACTGTCAACTAAAAATAACACTATTGAGTCTAGTTAGTTAATTTGCAGTATCCCAGAATTATTCATTAAAAAGTAAAAAAAAAAAAAGGCAAAAGAAGAAGTCAGTTCTCTCTTTGAACCCTCCACTAGCCACTGGAGCAATAACAGTTTTAAAAAATGACTATAGGATTCAGTGGCACATTTTGTGCTTTTTTGTCAAAGATGTTTTTGTTTCTTTCTTCAAGATTGTCTTGCAACTACCAGTTATACCACACTATGCCTGTACTGAGAATAGCCAAGTAAAGCAAGTAGCCAAGTAAAGGCAACACAATTTTCAGTAGTCCTTCAGACTTATTTGGTCTTTTGTTTTTGCAGAATAACAGAAAATCTGCAGTTGGCAGGGACTCTGCAGATCTTCTAGTCCAACCTCACCCTGCCCAAACCAGGGTCACCTAGGCCAAAGTTGCTCAGGAACATATCTAGTCAAATTTTCAGTACCTACAAGGACTGAGACTCCACAACCTCTCTGGACAACTCATTCTAGTATTTGACCATAGACACCAAGAAAAAAAAGTGTTTTCTTATGCTTAAACGGAATTTCCTGTATTTCAGTCTATGCCCATTGCTTATTGCTGAGAAGAGCAGGGCTCTGGCTTCTTTGCTCCCCTATCTCAGATATTTATACACATTGATAAGACCTTCCCTCAGCTCTCTCTCCTTTACACTGTAGAGAGTCCCAGCTCTCTCAGACTCTCTCTGTATGTCAGATGCTCCTACCCCTTAATCATTACGGTCCTTTACCACACTCACTCCAGTATGTCCACATCTTTCTTGCAGTAGAGAGCCCAGAACTGAAGCCAGCACTCCAGATGTGGTCTCACCAGTGCTGAGTAGTGGGGAATGTTCGTTTCCCTCAACCTGCTGGCAACCATCTTCCTAATGCAGCTCAAGAATTAAATGCACGATTAAGCTGGCTCTGCAAAAATGAAGTGGGAAGCAATGCATTTTTGCTATTATCTGAGCTCTTCAGTGCTAAAAACTATATGGTCCTCTTTTCAGACTTTCACATGACTTGTTGCCATGCAAGTCCCTTAAAGCTGTGTCTACCACTTGATATCAAGTGGCAGAGCAAACAGTGCGCTCATAGGGTCATAATGTCACCATTGCCAATGGCAGGTTTCAGTCCATTTGGACACCAAAAGGACAGTAACATTTAAAAAACAGTAACATTTAAACCACATCAAGTCTTGAAAGTGCTCACACACACACACACACACAAAAAAAAAAATTCCTATGTTTGGAGGTAATGAAACACATGGCAGTTCTTAGCAGTCCTGCTGTGAGAGCTGGAGTCTGGCTGCTAACCATCACACCAAAACCATTAATTAAGTGTTGAGGTAAGAAATGTTCTCACTTCTTTTGTCTATTATCAGATGCTTCCTGAAATATATTATGAGTATCTGAAATTCATCCGTCTCAGAAATTCCCAAACAGGAAAGATGGCACTAAGCAGAAGGATTTGGTCCAAGCTTTGGAGGTAACATCAACAAAAGCTATTTATCTATGTTGAGGGTCTTTCTAAGTGACATTGTAGAAACAATATAGAAGACATGGTCATTCTGTTGAAGGATCCTGAAATTTTCACATTTTTGGTGTATTTCAGCAATCCTAAATCCAAAGTATCGAACACTCCAGGAAACAAAATTGTAGGAAGGTATTTGACTTAGTGTTTGGCAGTGTTTGCTTCCAAGGCTATACAGAATTATGTTGTTGACTTTGTCTCACATCTTCTTACATTGTTCTTTCTCTAGTTCTTTCTCCTTTCTAGGCATCCATCTAATGTATATTGGACTATGCTTCCACTTGGTTTTACTCTCTCTTTCATACTGCTATTTTTGGTCAGCAGTTAAAGTTAGTTTTGTGAATAAATTCCCACAGCCCTGCAAAGCATTATGAAAAACAGTGATTAGTGAAATGGCTGCAGCATGTTTGTGATTATGAAGCCAGTCCTCACAAAGGGTCTTGGGTGACAACACCAGATGTCAAGGAGTTGGTTATATTTTCTACCCACGGAAGGAGTCCCTCTGCTCCCCTTCCTTGAATTGGTTTAGTCGTTTCACTGAAACAGATCTATACTCTTTAGAGACCACATGGAAATGACAGCGTGCAGTCTGATAAAATTAATTCAAAACCACACAGTGAAATCCCTTGTTCGAGACAACATTGTTGATGAGATGGGAGATTGTCCCTTAAATGAATTTTTCGGACCACTTCCTGGGCTAGCATGAGGCATTCTTCTGGCAGGAAACCAAGGAGGGTGGCATAGAAAGAGTGCTGTGCCTGGCCATTCTGTGGATGGGAAGGTGGAAGATGAGGTACAGCTATTTCCTCAGGCTCCGCGGTCTGGCAGCAATCCAGTTGGCAGTAACCGTGGTGTGTCTACATGTGGAGCTGGTGCCACATGGCTATCTGTCTCCTGGGATTTCTCAGCATTTCTTCCCAGTGATTCCTCTCTGTGCCCTCAACATGCAGGCCAAGGCTGCACTTGCCAAGTATGTGGCTCTGCCCCACGCCATCCTGGCTCAGCATCTCTAACTCCACACTAGAGGAACGCAACAGCTCATGAGGCACCTCAAACATGATCATCTCATTCCAGACAGGGTTGATCTTGTGTTTTGCACGTTTTGTCTGCTTCTTCTTCAGCTTCAAGGACTGATGCCTCAGTGTCACCTTGACAGAAACATCTGCACAAGAAGTAGAGAGACACACCATAGTAATGAATGCAGAACAGAACAGATACAAGATACAAGAAAATCTGAACTGATGACAGCAGACTTGCTGACAGACAGAACATGAGAAATACTGAGCCTTGGATCTAGGTGATCTATTTTTTTTTCTTGCTCGGTTTTTACTTGTTAAAAATTACTCAATTTTTTGGCTTCTCTAAGCCTAACATCCTTTCTCCCAGTCACCACTCTTCCCACAGTCTTTCCAGATTTACATAAAAGCAAAAACCAACAGCCTCCATCTTCTCACTCTTCCACTCACCATTTCCAAGTAGATCTTTTAGCTGCTTGGAATGCAGATTTTTAGCCTTAATTATCACCACAAGCAGGCGGTTGGCTGCTGGCAGGTAGCTGATGGAAAGCAGAACCTCCCCATGGCCTGTAGATGGCTCCTGGAAACAAAGACATAGGAGGGAAAAAAGGGTTTGACACAGTTTTGGCCATAACTTTAGAAAAATTGAATGATGAAGGGTGATGGGTGCAATGGCATAGATCTACCAAGTCATCACAGAGCCTTAGTACAGAAAATTCTTGCAGTTAAACTGGATGAGAGCGAACCAGACAAAAGGATCTAAGGGGGCTACTTTACTCCCCGGATCCTGATTGTAGGGGTTACTTCTTTCTTTTGATAATGTAAGCTAATTGCTTCCTATTGGGCATTTTTAGTGGAATATTTAGTCAGAAGAAGAGTATTTGAGGCTATTGTAGGTAATGTGTGAAAGTGTGCCTATTTGTTTTTTGAGAATGATCCAGCTGCTCCTTCTGCTTATTTAGATCTCCTACTTTCATTACTGCTTTTCATCATTTGCTCTTCATTTCAACTACTGTTTTTGTGACATAGATTCTGACTGACTTGGACCATGGTTGCCCTAGCAAAAAAGTCAGGCTCTGTAAAATACAGTAGATAACACTCTAGGTTGTAGCACATAGCCAGACACTGAAGCTGGTGTTGAACTTTCTCTGGCATCCTTGTTTGGTATTAAAAGCATCAATGAACCTAAAAACATCCATAAGCTCAGTACAATACTTTACCTTCTTGTCTTCTCACAAGTCTGTGCACAGTTCTCCCTCCTACCCCATGCTGCATTTCTTCTAGGGTAAATGCTCTGAACAATAAAGTTACAAAAAAAAGAGGCCACACTGTGTGTGGTTTTTTTTTTTTTTTTTCCCTTGTATTCCCTTCTTCCCAGTAGTGATTGGCCTCTTAGCCTCCTGACCTTTTTTACCTTCTTTCTCACTTGCTCTGGACAAGTAACCCTGAAGGCAAAACAAGAGGGAAATAACCACACCAATAATTGATCTTTCCAATGAAAACAGTGCTGTTTCCCAGTAGTGACTTGATGGAGAGGGAGAGAAAGAGCTTGCCTGTGTGTGTAGAGCTCTCAAATGTATGGTGAAGGGCATAAGGGAAGTAGTTATTCTGTCAGGGGGTACCAGCTTGTGACAGAAATCTGTTTTGCTGTGAGGTTAATGACACAGAAGAATCGCAGAAAGCCAGTCCCAATTCAGTAGACTCCCTTTGGACTTCTCAAAATGATCTACAAGCTATAGGACAGGCAGCACTTCTCCAGGCCATTTCTGTGCTCTGCACTCTCAGTTTTAAGTGAGCCATAAATATTTCAAATTAAGTTTTCACCCAGTTACTTGCCAGCATGCAAGGACAGGCCCCCTGTATGTTCCATTTCAGCTGATTGACTCTCCAGAAAACAGGGCTGTCATCGCTGTCTGGTTTGAATGACTTAGTTGTTATGCACAAATCAGGTGGGACACCATTAGCAAGCAAGCTTGAAACTCCACACCAAATCAGTTCAAGTACACCTTTTTTCATACACTCTGGTAGAAGGGACATACATGCATTTCATTCACACATGTCCTATCCAAAATTCAATAAACCTAAACCAAAGACAATCAAACAAACAAAAGAGACAGCTTCAAATTACTATGTCCACTGGAAAAGAATAGTCATATTTGTACATGTAAGGAGTTGATCCAACATAAAACTACTATTTATGCAAGTAATAAGCTGCTTTTTTTCTCAGCAGGTCCTGCTCTATAGCTCTTGATTAGACTTTGATTCCTATTGCTCCAGAAATGGATAGATATTCTGAGGAAGATGGTGAGGCAGAGAGGAAAGAAGGAGAGTTCTATAGCCCCTCTGCCTACACACATGCTCTGCAGACAAGTGATCATTCACAAATTGTGCATGCACATTTCAATTGTGCTTATGTCTTTCTTGAGCTTAAAAATTTGGTCACGACTTTGAGCAGCCTTTATCTACATGAAACTAAAATTTCTGCTGGAATTTTGCATGAAGAGACCAAGCCAGAGAGATTTTTCCTTCTCTCTGTGTGTTCTTTTCTATATGTAGTCAATCTGTGACCAGCACTTTGTGTTACAATCTGGCAAATTCACACAGCCACCACTGATTCAGTCTTCCCCTCTGTGCAGTGAGGGCAATAAGCATCAGAAGTCATCAATGTATTAACTGTGCAGAGCTCTGTGAACTCGCAAAAGGGAAGGTGCTGTGCAAGAAGCCACTATCATCACTAGTCATTAGCAAAGCAGTGGGAGGGAAGGAAGACAAGATAAGGATATCAGCCTGCAACATCTTTGCTTTGCATTGCTCACAGCACATCATGCATTCCTCAGTGCTAATTAGTTACCTGGTTAGCTGCAAGCTCCCCTCTGAGTTCTTTCCTTTCTGTGGGAGAGTTATTGGGAGTGTAGGAATGAAATGTCTGCAGCTTGTGGCTTTTCAAGGGAACACCAGACTTTAAACAAACCCAGTAACTTTGTACCTGGACGGACGCTGACAAAAAGTAGCTTCTCTTTTCTGATCAGCTCTTTCCTGCTCCCCCATGCTTTGGTTCTCAATGAATGATTCAGGATCTGTGTATAAGCTATCTGTGTAATGGTTGGCTCTTTCAGGTCCCAGATGACGCAAATTCAGCCTTCACTGCACATCCTCAGCATAAACTGGGGCACTGTTCAGCAGTACTGTTAGTGTTAACCTTGTGCTCTCCGTCTGGAGAAGAAATAAAAGCTGCCCTGTTTCTGTGCACAGGTGTGAAGGTGGATGAAGGCAGAGAGTCTCCAGTATGTGAGGACTCTATCAGGTGTACTTGAGTGAAAACTGACCATCACTCACTACACGCTGTTCTTTGGGTATCGTTATAAAGCAGCTACTCTACAGTAGATTTGGAGGGTGTGGAGGATGTTCAGTATAGCTTCATTTAGGAATTTAAATCATTATGGTTTATATTGGAATGATTTTTTTTTGCACATCACTTTTTGCAGTAACAAACTGTGATTTAAGCTCATCTTAGAGCTATTAGTCAAATATTTAGCCTTGAGTTTTAGGTTTATTAAGCTGACCTAGATTGTCTACTTATTCCTGCTACCCATCTCTCTGCCAAGAGCTTTTCAGAGTAGCCAGCCATATTGTATTCAAGTAACGACTAGATAAATGAGCAGTATTTGAAAGAGCAAATGCTAAATCTGTACTCTGTGACTGAGGTCAGCTCAGCAACCCTCACACCTGGTGGAGCCAGGCAGTGATACGCTAATAGCAACAATAACAGTGCCCTGTTGCTTCATTAAGAGTACTGCTACCACTGAAAGAATAACCTAGCTCATGGCAAGAGAAAGGTTCTTGGGGAAATTTGCTCATAAAAAATTCATGCAGATGATCCTCTCATATACCTACGTTGAGCCCTGCTGGTATCTTTTCCTCCTTTTTCCCTGTCTGTCATGTTCGGAAGATATGGATAAAGATGTAAAAATGGTTTTACATTAAAAAAAAAAAAAGGCAGTGCAATGAGCAATCTTTTGATACATCCCTGAATGAATAGCACTGACTGCTTGGACTCATCACAGCTGGGGTGATGGGCTGTCAGTATTACAGTCTCACCATTGCATCAATATGTCCCACACTCAGCTCTAGAGAGTCCCTCTGGATGTCTCGGTAGGCACTTACTGGTGGTTTGGCTCTTGTTATCACAGTCCCCACATAATTAATCCACAGAAACTCACGTAGTAACTTTTTCTACACACAGGTTTTGAATTACAGCTATTAGTACAGATTATCACATAGTTTGGGGAGGAGGAGAGGAGGTTTTGACACGTCCTAAATGCTTGGAGCTGTAGACTGAGGGGCTGGGCTGATGGCCTTTGATTGCTTTCTGAAATGGTTAATTACAGCCCCTGGCACAGCGAAGTGCTGCAGGCACTCACTGTCTCTCAGAACCAGGATTGGGTCACTAGGGTTTCCAGACTACCGCTACAGGCTGAGTTCATACCTTCTCTGGAATCTTTAGTCTTTCCCACTGGGCCGTTCCAAAGGAGTCCTCCATGCTAGCAAGGCTCAGTTTGAGCTCACCCACAATGCTGTGTCTGGAGAACTTGTCGCAGTTCCTCAGGGTGAGAGTCAGGGTTCCCTCTGGCACCTCTTCCTCAGCCAGTGGGAACAGCAGGACCTCCTCCCAGAGAGTGTGAGGCGTCTTCTTCTTCAGCTCCGTCTGGGCTTCAACGATACCAGACTTGCTCATCAGTGAGCCCAGTATATAGCAATGGCACCCAGTGTCTTGGTCCCCGCTCATCCTTCCATGCATTGCTGCAAAGGAAAGGCTGACTGTAAAGGCTTCTCACAAAAAACAGCCATGAATAAATGACAGCTACGAAGTTTATCTCACAAAAGTCATAAAATAAAAGAGGTGCTTAAATATTCACTCCTGCTTGCACTGGGGAAAACTAACCTGTGAAACCCATGAAGCAGCATTTTTTTTTTCACACTGTGAAACCTCCTATTTCTTCTGCAGAAGAATTTCCATTGCAGAAGGATGTTATTAGTGTTTGGGAGAGCATCCACTGAGTTTAGGGGAAATGGTCAGTTGAAAGATACGAAGCAACAATGAGGTCAGACACAACATGGCAAAGGAGTAGGAAGCTCTGGTTTACATTGGTGCACAAAGAAAACTGTTTACAAAAGCTTTGAAGGATTCATACTCACAGACACTGGAGCAAGGAAAAACCTCCTATATGGCACATGCCCACACCTGTAGGCCAGTGTGGGACACCTCTAAGGTTTATTACAATCTGCTTTTCTAGCCTCTGGTAAATGGCTCCTTCGTAAGTGAACCCATAGCCCATAAGGTTTGTGTTGAAAGGCACTCAGCCCTAATTTTATATTACTTTTAAAGCTGAAAGTCTAGAATGAAATTGTGATTTTACACTCCTGTTAGTGTTGAAAGAAACACACTGCCTTTTCTGCAGCTATAAGAGCAGAAGGATCATGAAACAGCAAGGCTTTGTGGAGAAAAACAAAGTTATTTAAAGTCAATTCAAGGAGAAACGCTCCTGAAATGCCAGACCCCTAGACTCACAAGAATCTCCTGATATTTTGGGGGAGCAGAGCTGAGTGGATGGGATGAGTGGTGCAGCACCCAGGGAAGCACACACGTGTGGCAGCTCGCAGACATGCACGTCCATCCGGGAGGCAGGCTCATGATGTGGGCCTGCTGCTGGCAAGCAGCCCACGATGGTGAGTGCAGTTTAGCACCCTTTAAATCCTCACTGCAGAGGATGTGATTCGATTAGATTTCCACAGAGATCTGCACTGTTCATGAATTATTCAGTCAGCTTATTTTACTTTCCTAGAGGAAGCGGTGACGATCCAGCCTGGAGCGGAGAAGCTGTTAGAATTGTCAGTTGCTGCTGCAGGGAGTACCACAGAGCCCAGGCATGGCCAGGTGCAGCCAGAGGCTCTTTCTTTCAGTGGTCTGAAAGGAAATGTGGTGTTTCCATTGCAGCCTCTGACTTGGCCTGAGCAAGAGGCAGTAGAGAAATGAGTGGATCAGAGGTTACATTGAAAAATGAAAGTGGGAGAGAAGAAGGAGATAGCAACCCTTCCTCCCACCAAAATAGAAAATAAGAACAGATTGCTTTGTATGTGTAGCATGTCTAGGACAGAAAAGCCTGTCCTGATTTCTGGATTTGACTTTTGAGCTGTGCAAGTTATTCTTCCCAGTCATGCCCTGCACATATGCTTCAAGCAATAACATTTTTAGATATTTTAACTTTGCAAGCCCAAATGCCAGTGAAACATCCACTGGATGTTTCCAGTGTTCTGGGGAAACTTGCTAATTTTAATGAGAGGAGAGCACTTTATAAAATCAGCACATGCCTTGTACCTTACAGACTGAGAATCAACAGTAAAAAATCTCTGCCTCCTACCTTCAAGAAGGGCCACACGCAGCTCAGCTTTTTGTCGATCATATGCGAGGGAGTAGCGCAGTTCAGGGACCTGGTTGTGGCTGGCTGCCCTCTCAGGGTTCAAGTGCTCAGTGACACACACATCCTTTACCACACCTGGAACTGAAGTAAACCTGTCAGCAAGCAGCTCATCACCTTCCATGGAGTTCAAAACCACACCGTTTTAGCTTAAGTCTTCTAACTCATCCATGTCTTGCTATTGCTGCACCTTGTATGGAGAAATATCATTTCTGTTGCTTTACTTTCCCTCATCGTATTTGCTCTTCTCTCTTTCTTCTCTCACTTTCAGCACCTACTACTGCACCTGGTGCTTCCTGATCTCTCTGAAAATCTCAAATTATTTTTGAAAAAAATAAAAGGAGCTACCTTGAAAAAAATCATCATTGTTTCTCTGGCAAATCTTCAAGAAGGATTTATCAATGTGATAACCATAAGACTCAACCATGCCATTAAAAAGGCAGCTGCAAAGGTAAAAATCAGTATGGGAGCAACCTAAATATGCTGCCAGATGTATATAATTAACATTATGTTTTCTCTAAGGTTCAGTAATTTTATGTTCCAGGTGTTGGCGTGTTACTGTTTGATCTGGCTGGAAAACAAGAGTTCTGTTTGGCAAAAATGTCTGAGGTCTCAACCTTTGGTTTCTCTGTATATTATGACAAGCCAAGATCATCTCATGGAAATGACGGGGAAAAAAAAAAGTGACAAGGACACTGGCTGGACAGTTACCATTTGTCCTGAGGAGCGGTTCTGCCTGGCTTTGGCCAGATATTCCACCATGTTAACCTGTGGCAACTGCTCCCAGTGAACCTTTACCCGTAATACATGTTTTTCTACAAAATGTTTGCCTCCAATAAGTCACCATTCTGCAACACAGGAAGTGTCTGGGTAACAAAAATTCCAACCAGCCATAATTATGGCTTTGTTAATCGAATCTCCATTAACTGAATCTCTTGATAGACTCAATGGCTGCTTTTTACTAAACATATGCATTTAATAAACAACTCACAATGCTCATGATAAAAGATCAAAAAATGCCTCTAATATTCATTTTCATAAACATTTCTCTAAGCAAGATTGCATTATGCACAAGCACAAGCATTACAGGTCTACACCCCCCCAAAAATTATTAAAGATCAAACACTCTTACCGTTTTGAGGAAGAACAAACAGCTCTTCATTGACTTGTATCTTTATTCTGTTCTCATCCAAACTGGTATGTTTTCCAGTAGCTGGTTCTTCTGTTGTCTTCAGGGAGTACTGTGTGTAGTTAACAATTTCAGGTGAAGTTACTACTGGTTTGGGGCCATATATGTTGGGAAACTTCAAGAGTGCTCGAGGCTGGACTGGTTCTGCAGTCTTCTTAACGCTGAACTGAAATTTAAATCTCGTTATTATTCTGCACTAACTAGACTATTTTTTTTCTGATTCTCCTAAGTTAACTTTGCTGAGAATAAGAAGGAAAAGATGGTGCATTTGACCTTTCTTAATGTCACTGCTTCTTAGTTTAGATGTCAAGAGATTTTTTTTTGCCAGATCTGTTACCTTTCCACTTGGAGAAAGTCTTTTCAGATTCAGTCCTCCTTTGGAGGACTGTTGGATCTTTGGTTGCAACAAGAAAAAAGATACATTTTAAAGTGTCTGATTATTTCCCCTTTTCTATAGCAGTTAGTCTTTCTTTTATAAGTCTGTGTTCTCTCTAAGCAGAGGACATAAAAAGAGTTCAATTTGCTGTGACTGAGAAATGGTATTTTTTACCATGACATTTGAAGTCAAACCCAAGATCAAGAAGTTAACATCACCCACAGATTCATAGAACTTTTTATAGAGAGTATAGTAAACATTAGGAAGGCAAAGTCATTGATGATACAGTCAGTTGGAGCATAAGTATATTGAGATTTTTGATTCACTGATTCAGTTGTCCCCTCAACCTCTCAGCCTTTCTTGGTTCTGTGGAGCAGTGCTCGACCTCATCCTGACAGGTCCCTTCTGTTGAACATACCAGCAGGCAGATGAACACTTAAAGAAGTGCTTGTTCTCCTCATAGAAAAGCAAGGGTTCCCCCTTTTTATATGGAGATCGACATTTTGATTTATGTCTGTGTCGTTCTTAGCATTTCAATTGCCTGCTGGTTCACTGACACTGAATAAACAGAAGGACCTGGAAGATGGTGCAAAGCCCAGGAAGCTTGGGCAAAGGTTGGCACAAAGGCATTACTGTTCTCCCACAGCAGGTCTCATGAGAAATCTTAGTGCAATATAACAGCCCCCTTTTACTTATGTCACCCCACAAAGAATCCTGGCTACTCACAACTGAGGTCATTCCCGATTCATGTATATTTGGATTCATCAATGGGAAAGAACAAAAGCTGACTAGTAAATGACCCTAATCTACTCATCAGATTTTGTTAATGTTTCCAAAGAATGAAAGACAAAAAAGCAGAAATAAAACTGCCATTTTGGTTATTATTGTGCAGTGGGATTCTCTCCAACTCCTCTCCCTGACAGTCTGCTCTGTGTTAAGCTTTGAGTGAGAGTGAGCCAGAAAGCATTCTTAATTGTAATTAATGTTTTCATTAGTCTCACTGCTTCCTATTAATAGTGAATGCAATGCCACCAAGCACTTGTCTGTGTTGGGACCCTGTGGTCCCAGATCACGTGTCCTCAGGCAACATGCATATTCCTCAAGGAAGAAAGGGGAAAAAAGAGGGCAGTCTTGGTCTTCAGCTCACTAGTCATCTGTGGAGATCACAGTGCTCCTGTGATAAGCATTTGGCAGTGATAAAGATCTAGTTAGGTCAGTGACTTCATCTTCTCAGGACAACCAGTGCATTGGTGTTTAGGAAATCCACTCTGTAACACAGCATTTTCTCTTGTTTAGTTTTAAGGAGTTTGGAATGAGTTGAGAAAGAAGCTCATCTCTGGGTGGGCACCCCCAACTAGCATTCAGTTGAGCTGAGGTCTTGTATAAGCTTTTCTGGTGCTGGTTAGTAAAAGGAAGTAAGACCCCCCCTTTTAGCAATTTAAGTATCATCAGTTCTAAAATCCCTTCCAAGGTTTGAATTAATACATCCAAATTTTAGATGGATCAACTTTTCATTCTTCTAAAATTTAAAGCAAACCAAACAAACAGAACATGGAAGGAACCACTAGACATTACCATGACAAGGTCAGTTTTGTTCTGCAAAGACAATACTCCTAACACACATAAAACACTTGCTAGTGGCCACTGTTTGCTGTTCTGTCTCTCCTGAACCAACTGAGTAATGCTACTCTCCTACTATTCACTGACCTTCACACTAGAGAGTTATGCTGTGGGGCTATATGCTGCGAGCAGATGAAACACTTTTGGATCCTTTGGGATAAGGATTACACAAATGTGAGATATGGCTATTACATTTTTTCCCTCCACTTGCTAAAAGCCAGATATTTAGTCAGGAAATCCATCAACACACAGCAACTAAGAGCTCCACTGGGTCTAAGTATTCCTCTACTCTATCTGCTCTGCACAACTAGAGATGAGAGACATATGCAAGCACAGTGGGACCAGCCCACCCCCTTTTTGCACTGCATCTGCCTCTGTTTAATATTTTTGCTGCCAGCCCTGTTCGTAAGTGCTATCTGCTAATCTTGTATAGTATAGACCTATAGAAGTTCTCTTTGCAAATCATCAGCAATATTTTAAATAAGGAGCTGAGCAGAAGAGTTCAGATAGGCCTGCATAAAATGTGTGAAAGCAAAATTAGCTTGAAGTCTGCAACCACCCCTTCTGGGTTCCTTCCTAGTAATATATTAGCTTGCTGAGATTGCTGTGTGCATTTAGGGATGCTTGTTCTGTGTTTAAGGATGCTTGTTCAGCACCCTTTGTGGAGAATTTGCCAATTTGAAAATCTACAGTAGGTTTTAATTGTTCTGTAAATATATCTTTGTGTTTGAACTCTCCTCCCTCATGCATGTAGGACAAGACCATAGGGAACTTATATCAATATTAAAAACAAGCATCAGTATAATGGGAAACATTTCAAGTGGATAAAATGTAGTCTTCTTTCATCTTTCTTTTGTCATCTCTGTTTACCAGAATCAGTGGCCCAGACAGTCTTCAAATATTAAGTATGCCAAGCACTGACTAGGACACAGTGCACAAATGTATTTCTCCACCAGTGGAAAGAAAGTACTGACAGGACAATTTATAAACATAGACACAGATGAGAAAACTTCACAGGCACAGAATTCATTTTGAGATTCATTCCTTAAAGGAATGTAGACTAATTATGAATCAGTGACAGCAGAGAGAATGCATGTTCCTGGCAGTAAAATTATTTTAATTGGAAAGAATTGGTAAACATACGGAATATGCAAACTAAGAACATTTTGCACTTTCTGTGCACTTTCTGTGACAGAATGTTCATTCAGCAGCTACACTTTGTACAGATTTTATTTAAAAAAGGACAGTAGTACTTCCATTTAGGAACTCTATAGTGCTAAAAGAATGCAGTCGCTCAGATAAGAATGATTCACTGAGAGAGGTGAATAATTTGATCCCATATTGGTCAAATATGATATTAAATTACAGCAAAACTTAATGAATCAGTGTAGAATCTTGTGAGGGCCATAACCTACGACCTGCTGGGTACTGAGTGCTTAACTGGACTTAATGATAGTTTAGTGGTTATCTCAGACATGAAGGCAGGATGGCACCCTGAAAGAGAAGATTCAGGATATCTCCAGATATTTCCCAGGAAGCTGTGTGACAGAAAAAAGAGTCCAATCCAAGAAGGAAATTACAGCAAAGATTTGAGATGGTTTTGAGCTAGAAAACAACACATTAAAAAGTATCTTGTAGAAAAAGAGCGATGATGAAGTGATTTGTGGATAGCGTTGTTCAAGACACTAACAGCTAGAAAAAATGCAAAGTGATGTGACCATTAAATTTACACACATACATAGATATACAGAGGTTTGCAAATCCCCTCCGTGAGTTAGTCAGAATGAAAAATGAACCTGGAATGAACATGACAAAACTAGATAGCGGGGAAATTCATCCTGGGAAAAGACAAACTGGTATGATGAGCTATTCACCAAATCTAAACTGGACCAAATGGATGGGTCCAGAATTGGCAGCAATCTCTTGGGAAGTCTTAAACTCAGTGAGGGTTGGTCATAGTTAGTCCCTCCCTGTCCCTATCACCTGCTCTCTCATCTCCACAGAAGCTACTGTAAAATAGTTCTCAGTACGAGCTCAAATGTTGAAATGCAATTACTAGATATGGTCATCTTCCCTCAGAAAAGCATCGCAACGGGAGAGTGAAGGCACTAGGACCCTTCTCTACAGACAGCCTAAAACTGGCAGCCAGAAAGCAACTGAATATCTAATTATAGACATTACAGAGAAATCCTATTAGGACTTTTGCTAAACTCTTTAATAACATAAAAATAACAGGCACTTACAGATAATGAAAAGGCAAACAAAGACAATGTTTTACAATGGATCATTGGCCATTGGAACTGTCTGCTGTAGCACATCATTTTGGTGAAAATGAAAAGGACTTATTCACATACAAACATGAAGAACTAAAGCCAACAGATAATACTTTCAGAGTCTGACCACTATTATAGCTCATGTCAAAGATCACAGCCAGACAAAGAAATTGTTCAAAAATTTCTCACAGAAGAAGAGCTTCCCATCAATAAGTATACTAGAGCATAGGACTTGGGAGTATATTAATTATTTGTTTGATCCTAATAAGTAAGAAAGACCACACAGGGATGCCTGACATTATCAGCACACCGCATTGCTTTTATAGTAACTGAAAAAACAATACACCGTGTAATGAGTTTCTCCAGTCACCCGACTCCAGACACTCACTGATGTTATTATTTTCATTTCAATACCTTGTTTTAACTTCTCCCACAATTACACCCCTCACTCAGAGGCACAGAGGGAAGAGAAGATACAGTTTTCATAAGAAACCAGC